TCCTTCGCACAACGAAGAAACTTTCCCCAGATTCTTCTAGCGAACATGACAGCGAACGTAGCAGAGTTTTGCGAATGTTGATTGCGTGCAGCGAGGCCTTGATGTTTGATTCTGTGATTTCTGTGATGAATTAGCATGAGTATAACTGGAAATTCCATGTGATTAATATGCGATAATGTGATTATTACCATGATTATAATTATGAATTCTATGTGATTAATATGTGATAATATGATGAATTAACATGAGTATGACTGTGAATTCTATGTGATGTGTATATGATGATGATGATGATTTTGATGATGATGATTATTATGATGAGCTACGATGACATGATGTATGGTGATGATTATTATGATGAGCTACGATGACATGATGTATGATGATGATTATTATAATGAGCTATGATGACATGATGTATGATGATGATTATTATGATGAGCTATGATGACAAGATGTATGATGGTGATTATTATGATGAGCTATACTGATATGATTTTGATGATGTTGATTATGTTGAATGATGATGCACCTATGATGTTATTATGAGGATGATTTGTGACGTGTCCATCATGCATTCATGTGCATCTGAACTTCGCTTCAGGACCTCGATTACTTTGGCTTCAATCCCATTGTGCGGATGTGAAGTGTTTTGATATGCTCTTATTCTCTAGTAGAATCGATCCTATTGATGGGGATCTATGGAGGGTTGATGGCCCAGTATCCATCGCGCTGTGATGATTGGTACCACATGCATTGAGTCTTGTTGCATTTGCATTTATGAGTGATTTGGAATAATTTATGATGTTGTGGCCTTGGAGGCCTATTGATGAATATGATGATGTTGAAAATGACTATGACGCCATTTTATATGTTAATTTTCATACATTCGTTATTATGAATCATTTTACTCGCCCTGCCTGTTTGAATGTTACCTCCACGTGGGTAACGTGCAGATGACCAGGTTTAGTCGTGGATGCCGATGAAGACTTTTGAAGTTTTGAGTTGTTGGCCTTTGGTCAACTTAGAGGGTCTTGCTCTGATAGTGTAACATCGGGTTGGGGTCTTTGAGTCGAGCTATGTTTTATTGAGTTATTTTGATTACCTTTTCGTATAAGGAAAACTTTGGAATATGCCTTGTGAGTTTCGCTGCCTTTGAGCAAATTTTGATATCTTTTGGGAAAACTCATTATACACGGAGCATTGACTTATTTTGAGCTTTGAGAAATGTACGCCCTTTGAGGTGATTTATTGTTGAGTTTAACATTTTACTCTGATGACTTTGAATAAATGTGTCTTTTAATTATAGAGTAGAAAAGGGTGTTACAGTTATTTCGGAGATGCAAAAATTTACAGAAATACATTTTTGGTCCATATTTTGACAAATTTTGGATGGATGGTTATGTTGTAAAGCGCATTGTTTTCAAGGATTAACCCAAAGATACATCATTGAAATTTTTCTTAGGTAATTCAGTGGATGCATCTTCAGACTATGTTTTGACAAATATGCGGTGGATGACTCACTTATCAAGCATTGTGTATATTTTAAATTTGTTCATTTTAAATTTGTTCGAAAATATATCTCCAAAATAAAAAAGAATAAATTCAGGTTATTTTTTCACTCTCACTCCATATAATTGATAGAGTAATATTTTATTCAAAAACATATCCAAAAAATATTATAGCGCACACACAAATAATATTGTCACTGTGATTTAGATTTAAGTATATATTTCTATTTTAATAATATATTTATATATTTTGCTTTTACTTAATTTATATATTCCTATATTGTTCTTTCTATATTATTGTTGTGGTGGTAAATTTGGATTCATGTAGAATTCGAGCTTAAAATCCAACACTGATAATTGGGGTGTTCATATCCAAATCGACTACATAAAAAAATTAAAAACTACAAAAAAAATCAAAAATTATTAGATGTCATTTTTTAAAAATTATTCGATTTAGATCAGATTTTAGATTGATTTTTCAAAACCGATTCAAACTAAATCACATGTATATATTTCTATACTTAATTATTTTTTATTAATATGATATATTGTGTTAATTTAATATTAGATGATTCTTAATCTATTAATTTGATTTAATCTATTTATTTTTATCATTATCATTTTGTAATATTAACTTTTAATATAGTATATTATATATTTTATCAAAATTATTATATATTAGTATTTTTAGACAAGTCAGATAAGTATCAACTAAAAGGCCAACCTTTTAATACAGTATATCATTCTCAATTACTTTTTTTGATAAAATATATAATATACTTTTAATATAGTATATCATTCTCAATTACTTTTTTAGCATTACCAATGGGTATTCTGTTGATTAGGGATGTTTCCGATTCGGTTTGGATTGATTTTTGAAGTAAAATATCATTCGATCTCAAAAAAAATTTACTTGCGGTTTGGTTCAATTTTAAAAATTTGATAAAATATATAATATATTATATTGAAAGTTAATATTACAAAATAATAATGATAAAAATAAATAGATTAAATCAAATTAATAAATTATATTTTAAAAAAATAAGAATCATCTAATATTAAATTAATATGATATGTTGTGTTAATTTAATATTAGATGATTCTTATTTTTTTAAAATATAATTTATTAATTTGATTTAATCTATTTATTTTTATCATTATTATTTTATAACTTTCAATATAATATATTATATATTTTATCAAATTTTTAAAATTGAATCAAACCGCAAGTAAATTTTTCTTTGGATCGAATGATATTTTACTTCAAAATCAATCCAAACCTAATCGGAAACACCCCTAACCAACTGAATACCCATTGGTAATGCTAAAAAAGTAATTGAGAAGTCAATTTTTTAAATAAAAATGTAAAAATAATAGAGCTTAAATGAGATTTACAGAAATAATGGCCAATTTGTCAGTTTTTATATTTAGAATAAAATAGTCACTTTGTTATATTTAGTTTTTTTTATTAAAAACTAAATACAGCTCAGAGTAAAAACGTATTTTAAATTCTCAAATAAAATTATTTATAATTGTATTTTAAAAACAATAGGTTTTCACAATAATATATACAAGCATGCAACTGATTGAAATGATGCGTATTCACTAGTTTTAAATGAGATAAAAATAATTTGCAGTAACCGTTTGTTTTATTTTTTGTAAAAATAATTTTGAAAATATTAGAGGTTGTGTTTAGGACGAGGGCTCAATTGAGTCCCTTACAGTTATAATTTTACTGTTAGATTAAATAAGTCTTATGGGATGATGTCAGTACTTACCATATTAGATTGGATCTCCCCTATATGCAACCATGTGAGAGACTACCATATATCTTTTCAATCAAACTATTTTCTCTCCTTTTAATAAATAAAATATTAAAAGTAGAATTGCAACCCAAAAAATAATTTATATTTACTATATAAGAATTTGACATTTGCAGATATTTATTTTAACGCAGTTATACTATTGAATAAAACTTCATATCCTATTGGATGTATAATCTCTCAAAGTCCAATTTATACGCATAATAACTATTCACAAATTTTAATCCATTTTTTAATGCGAATCTTTAATAAATATTGTTTGAAAATTTCTAAGTCGTAAATTGTGGTGAAAGAAGATAAAGAGATTGTGAGAAATAAAAAGAAAGAGAAACAAATTAGTAAATTTTTGTAATAGAGGAATAGCTTAATCTAAACCTATCGTAGAATAGCTTAATCTAATGCTTTTCAATGGTTCACCATGAACCATTTGGGTGATGGTTCACCCAAACAATATTAGATATTTGTTTAAAAAAAAATTTTAAATTCCTATTTTTTTTATAAAAAAGTTAAATAAAATTTAATTTGAATAATTATTTTTAAAATAATATTTTAAATATTTTATCATTTTAATATAATTTCTTTAAATATCAAAATTTCAAATAATTACTTAAATTTAAAGTTATTTCAAATCATAAAAATTACAATTACAATTATATTTTAATTATCACTATCACGCTTATGTTCTTACTAGATGCCATTTGAAGTTGTACCGTTTATTTAAAGAAAAATATTATTTTTACACCATTTCTACACTCAATACTTACACCGTATATACTGCTCACCGTATTTATATGGTGAACAGTATTTTTTTTATTAAAATAATATATTTTTTAAAATATTAATTTTTAAAAAAAAATATTTATTTTTAAAATTTATTTTATAACACAAATATAAAATTGCGTATTAACCAACTTCACAGTTGCATTAATCACAAAAATCTACACCATTAGCCAATTATTTTACCATAATTTATTAACCACTTTCACTATTTCATTAACCAATAAAATACACACTATTAACCATTTTCTGGGAAATTTGTTCAAGTATTTGTGAATAGTAAATTTGTTCAAGTACTTGTGAATAGTAAATTGGGTGTAACGTGTTGTGCAAATGGTGTCGACATAGCAATCATGTTATTTAAATCAACCAGCCATGCGAGAGTTCGAAAATGTGGCGCTTTCTCCGGTTTATATTAAATGACTGCATTTTTTGCTTCCAAACTTACTCTGTAATTCAAGAATAAGAAAGTATTCAAACGCCCACCCTGGTTCCATCCAAATTTGCACAACACGTTCAAATCATCCAAAGTGAGATCCTCAAACCGTTGGATCCTTTTGGGGAATCATGTTTTGTTTACTGTATTATTCATATCCAACGAAAGGAATCACAAAGAACTTAGCAATTATCAATACAATAAGTAACCGCATCTGTCATTACTCATTAACAAACTGTAACTACAGATGCATTAACGACAAAACCAAGCAATATAAACACAAGTGAATCCCTCTTTCTTTATGCAAGGGGAAAATGAAAAGGCCAACATTGACAACATTAGCCTCTAAATTAGCAGATAAATAAATTTTTATCACAATATACACAATTTTTCAAATTGAAGGAAAATAAATAGGAAATCAGTATAAGCAAGCAGAAAACCAATGACAGAAAATCACGAAGCACCTTGGAAAGACAATCTATCTCGAAGAGTATCAAATATTGATGAAGCTCCTGCATTTTGCGCAAACGTCAATTTCAAACGACCAAGCAATTCACCGTCTTTTGCCTGTGAAGCAGCATCCGCAGCTTCCTTAGCCATACCAATTCGGGCATATGACTGTCCAAAATAAGGGAGATATAAAATTGTAATGTCCACACTATACAAAAAAAATTATGAAAGTTATGAAGCACAGACACTTCTAAGAGTGGAGTCTCACGGTGTCCGACACGCGTTGGTGTCCGACACTTTAATGACACTCGCACGACACGTGTCAGACAAGTCAGATAAGTATCAACTAAAAAATAATATTTTTTTTTATTTATTTCGACACTCTTTAAATCAATGGTTGACACTCATAACACATATGTCACACAATTCAGACAAGTGTTTTAAACAAAAATTTGTTTTTTTTTTCTTTGCTTCAACACACCTTTATATATATTTTGGACAAATCTCACACAAATTTAAAATTGTTAAATGTGTATTTAGATAACGTTATCAATAAAAAATTAAAAACATTAATTTTTATTAGAATGTTTTCAACTTTTTTAATGATAGATGGATAAATAAAGATAAATAAATCTCAAATACTCTCTTATATATAGCGGTGTCGGTGTCATATGTTTTAATATTATCGGTGTCAGAGTGTCCGTGTCGTGTCGTGTCGCGGTGTCCATGTCAGAGTCCGTGCTTCGTAGGGCAAAAGTACACAAATAATATTATGTTAAAAATATTATATACAAATATCATGTAAATAGCAAAAGCTCTGATTCAAGTTATGTCTCTCATCACTTTCCATGTTCTAATTTGAATTTCTAATTTAGGAAGAGAGGAGGTAGTTGTTTTTTTTTCTCCTTTTCTGATAAAAATAACTATAACAAACATCCCTCCCCCAGCAGCATAAAAAGAACATTGTTTACCCTTCAATAAACTTCTACATCAGGAAGCAGTAATGCTAAAAGTATTGATGGGATAAGTATTATGATAATCATGATCAAAGGTGCAGGGACGAATATATGCAGTACCAATAATATTTCTAATGATAGTCCTTGGATGACTGCTTAAAATGTATGACAAGTGTTAGATTAATTTTTCCTTTTTCATGAGAATTTATTATTCTTTGAGCTGTGTTTTTATAAGCATTGAGCTGAAGTTTCTGCAACATTGTCTCAATTTCAGCACATACCGTAGGCGTCATTACTGGAGAGACATCACTATTCATCAAAGATTTGTCTTCTCAATAGTGAAATTTTCATTTTATACGGAAAAGTGAGGAATTTTAGCCATAATCAATGATTGAGATTATGATCAAATGCATGAATGTTTGTTTAAACCTCAAACAATCAATAGTGCATCTTTTCCTCTAAGGTGAGGTAGCCAAATCCATTTGAGAACCAACTAGTTCAATTAATAACATGAAAAAGAAAAGAAAAAAAAAACAATAATAGAGAAGGTTATTAGTTGGTTATTATAAGTGTTTCAATTTTTTAAAATTTCTCGAAAACTTTAAAAAAAATAACAAATACGTCAATTGAGATTTGAGACAGCTTAAAATACCTCAGCTTTTTCTCGAGGGTCTGCAAGTTTAGGGATATATTTAATAGCTTCTCCCTTTTCATCTGCTTCAATGCATGCCTCCACAAATGGCCTATAACCTATGGATGCCAGAACATGTAGGTACTGGTCGTCAATAAAAAGGAAGGACACAAGAACTACTACTACTACTACTACTACTTCGTAATGAACATTAGAAGAATGAACCAATATTTCAGATCTGTCACTTTCATTACTCATAGGAGTCTCGCTAAAAAGTGCCCAAAAGATATAATACTTTCTTTTTTCTTAAATACTTTCTACTTATATTTTCTCAACAAATTCCCTAAGGGCCCTCCTTAGCATTGTCATCTGCCATAGATACTCAAAATTGCAAAGTATATGCTGGAATTCTTAATTAAAAAAGTAATACAATTCTAATTTGAAAATCGTCACACTTCAAATTAAGTACAAAAACTAATTTAATATATAACATAAAAACAGTTGTAAATCAAATCTACACAGATGTAGCATCCTTGTAAAACCAATATACAGAGCCATTATGCCATATAGAGATCCTAAAGTAAGAAACTTATAGAGCAGGGACCTATGCAGTGCACGAGTTAATTATGTGTAAGAAAAATTATTAGTGGGGTTTTAAGTTATGGAAAAAAACAATGTCACAATTATATGATTTCTTCTCATAAACAATAAAGTGCAATCTCTATTGAGTAAATGGTTCTACACAATTTAAAAAATGAATGTTTCTCATATAATAAAAGGATTTTAGTTTATTCGAGGCAGATTTAATTAACAAATAAGTAGACTACAATTAATTAATCAATGTTTTATTGAATAAAAAACATTGTGCAGTAGTTGTCAGCAGAATTAAATATATTGTATTGTTGATATTTGTAAATATATATAGTGTTAAGAATATTTGTATATAGAATAGTCTCACATCGACTATATCATATAATTAGTTGTAATCTATTTATATATAATAATGTCTCCGTAGTGGTTTTAAAAAACACACGGTTTAATCTAAATGTCTCTTTAGTCTCGTTTATTTCAACATGTACAATAGTTAAACTTAAAAAATATTGTGCAGTAGTTGTCATTAATAAATTTTGAAATCAAGAGATATTTTACGTCAATTTCAGACAAATAATTGTCATTAATAATTTGATCAAAAAAATTGTCATTAATAATGACAATGTAATCTGACTTGGAAAATATAAATAAAATTCAATAAAATGCAGCTAAACTACAAAATGGTGCATAATTGAAGAAGTTTCAACTTTCAAGCATTATTGAAATAGAATTCTTTAAAAAAAGAATGCAACTTTACTTTGAAAATAGCCACACTTCACATAAGTACAAAACCTTATTCAAAAAAATACATAAAAACAGATGGAAATCAGATCTACACAAAAGTAGCCCCCTACTAAAACCAATATACGGCCATAGAGAGATCATAAATAAGAAATGATACTTCAACTTCTTTATCTTTGTTCTCATACACAATTTAATCAAGGAAATGTAAATATCATATTTTGCATGTTTACCACCCAATATAATTCAATTGTTTAGCCAATATCTTTAAATCAATTTTGAATATACACCCCAAAACCCATTTGAAAATTGGCTGGAAAAAACACCACAAAATGTCCCCAAAACTACAGGAACTTGGCCTGAAGGTTGAAGCTAGTGTTTTTGATATTCTTTACATTTTATTTTATATCAATCTAAAATATACTTCAATGACCAAACCTTTGAAATAAATTTTCTTAATGTAACTAATGGTCAATGTGTTTTCATTTTTAAATTGTATGAATGGAGAATGTTTTGTAGCAAGATAAAATAACTGTGCAAGTATAACATATCAACCAAAATCAATGACCAGTACTTATAACCAAGCCATTAAATTGAAGCCTTTCAGTTTGACCAACTAGTACTGCTCACATTGGAGTTAAATAAAATTTAAAAGGCAGGATCTAGTTTGAAATTGAATGACTTCCTTCCGAATACCCTAAAAATACACTACCAATATGAAACCTTACCTATTGGAGGTTTTTTCTCCTTAGAAAAATTTCTAAAGCAGCATAGTCCGTGATTAGTGCTCACATTGGAGTTAAATAAAATTTAAAAGACAGGATTTAGGTTGAAATTGAATGACTTCCTTCCTAATACCCTAAAAATACACTAGCAGTATGAAACCTTACCTATTGGAGGTTTTTTCTCCTTTGAAAATTTTTCTAAAGCAGCCCAGTCCTTGATTGTGGCCAATGCAAATACCTTAAGCCAATACCATCTCTTCTCAGACACCTGTAGAAATAGAACAACAAAATTGTGTGCTCGGGAACTGATTTACACTGAAGAAGTAGAGGTCGTAAAAAGTGGTCATGTTTTGTTCGTTTCACATTGTTTTATCATCTTTTACACAAATCATTCATTCAAAGGCATAAAATGAGTCATTCTATTTCTTTAAAATGAGTTACCAACCTTAAATTCTGTTTTCACTTTTAGTGCAGCTCGATGATTTCCCAAGACAATACAAGTCCGGATTGTATCACTTATACTAGAATCCACAAAAATGGCCTGCTTTGTAGTCACTTCAAGTTCATGCTGGATTCTGCAGTAGCAACAGTGTCATAAATTTCCCTTGACCGAAGACACTAATATTTAGTCAACAAGGATTTATAAATTTATTTAACAGCTAGTAACATGGTCTAAATGTTTCTACAGAAATATATGAATAATCATTTATTGATAAACATATGAATATCAAAGCACAACAAAAGCCTGACAAATTAAATCATTCAAGATTTATTCTGTAGTCTAGCAATGTGACAAAAAACTGATAATCACACCTTAAAAGTTTTGCATGCTCCTCAGCTGCCTTTGATTCAAAGGTATGTTCCTTGGTTTCGGCAAAAAGATTTTGTGCCTTCTCAATAAGTTTTATTCGAGGACCATGAAGTGGAGATCCCTTGCTTGCCATGGGATTTTTTTCAAGTTCCCATGATTCTTTCCAAATTAGAAATGCCACATCCTGTATGGATCAACTTCAGAATAAATTCCAGTATTAAAATTGAAAGCATGAAATTTTCAGTTGAGCATATAAGAATTTGATAATTAGCAATACATAAATGATGCTGGCACAACATATCTATGACTATAAACTTTCTGACTGTGTTGTAACTAGTAAATTATTGAAAACTGCAAGATGGAAACACTTGTAGATTAATGCCTAGCTTAAAGTAAAAACTGTAATAGTGAGAAAAGGAAATGAAAAATAAAATAAAATAGGCATAATGTCATGATAATTAGTCAGATGACATATGAGTAGATAAATTGTCCATTCCGCAGCGCAGAAATATTTATGAGATTGAATGAGAGGTTATCAGTATTTTGTGTGAGACTGTCCTCTTAGAGGAAATGCAACCAATGATATATGCTAGACATTTTCCCCATATATAATATTCCAAATCAGAAGTCATGTATATTATGCAATTTGTTGCAACAGAACATACTTGAAGTTGCCCTGTGGATAAGAAGAAGTCCTTCAAAAATTCATGTTTATAGCACCTGAAATTAGATAATATTAATCAATGGCTGCATAATACTATTTCTCAATAAAACATATTAAAAACTTCAAATCATGTGATTCTATTTTTATCGTTTAAAAAAGGAACTAGTATGTCCAAGCTAGAAAACATGGACATAGATTAATAAATGAGATGGAGATTATATTGTAACCATTATGTTTCAACCATATCTCCCTCTAATTTTAACAATTAATAAAGAGATGCCTCTCAACTCACCTATACTTCGAATACTTGAAATGTATGGATGAGATACATCCTCGACAAAACATTGTCAAGGTCCTGGGAGGTTAAACAATAAACATCTAGGAGAGGTGGCAAAAACAGATCAAGGAGATAGAAATTGAAAAATAAGGGGGGTTAACGCATCTGTTATTGATGAGTATCAATGTTAACACTATAGATTTTAGTCTTTTATGTATACGGATATGGATAGTTATATGATATGAGAAGATGTGTAACAAAGCCCAAAACACTAAACTGCAATTTACTGTATAAATAGTTAAATAGGAAAACAGATGTGAGATGTAAGAAGATATGGAAAATAGTTAATGGTACTTTTAGTCCCTGCAATATGGGACCAATCTGGTTTTAGTCCCTGCAAATATTTATTTTTATTTCATCCTTATCATTTAAGATTATCCTATGTTTAGTCCTTCGTAGAATATGACCTAGCCAAAATGCAGTTGTGTCACTCTAGTGTGGACAAATGCACACTTATGTAGACATTTTAAATGATGTGGCCTTAACAATATCACATTATTTTTTTCGGAGACTGCTTTTTTGTAAAATAATTTAGGTTTTTTCTCCCTCTCCTCTCCCATCTTCCCTTTCGAATATCACCAATACCTCATATCCAAACCCAGAAAGACATAATTTAAACCAACTTGAAACTCCATGGAAACAATTTCTCAAGTTGTGCAGGTACTTGAAGCTATTGAAAAAAGCATCTCACAACATACAACAAGATCACACCGAAGGAGGGAGGAAGTTACACAATTAACTGTCCACATGTAACACCACCTATTTCTTCACCCACCTTAAGAAATATGTAACCCATGATTCCAACAGGGATCCAATTGCCAAAGCATCTGTAACATCTTTCAATCATCATTTCTTTGCAGCTTCTGCATCCACTAACCCAATCACACCCTCATAAGTATACTTCACCTACTATAGCAGTGATTGAACTTCCAGAGCTTTGTTACTTCTTCTAAATCAATCTTTCGCACATTGAACTTTATGAAACCGGTAATTGATGAGTAGCACAACGAAGGAAGAACGAGGGAGTGTGGTCTGGGATATTTGATTAACGGTTGAGTACTGATTGGGACACAGATAGTAGGGAAGGATGGGGTCATTCTCACATGGAGATGATGAGTAATATCTGTAGGCAAGATACAATACGAGGGAGGGTGAAACGGATAAACCCAATCTTATCTCTTTTTTTTGTTTTATTTTAAAAGTATCGAGTAATCGCTAATTAAATTTCCACGTTATTTAAAAATGTACACCTAAGCATGTATTGTTCACATCTGCGTTAATGCAATATCAGATTCTACAAAGCACTAAAAGTGGGAGAATCTTAAATGTTTGGGATGGAATTTAAAAAAAAGTGTAGGGACTAAAATCTATTGGTCTCATATCACAGAGACCAAAAGCACCATTATCTAATGGAACCATGCTAAAATAATCTCCATTATTCTAAGCTACCATTTTGATATAGGTATAAATTTTTTTTACACAGGTTTAAATATATTTTAATCCCTAAAAGTATGGCTATTTTTAAAATTCATCCTTATTGAATTTTTTAAAAAATTTAATCCTGAGAAATAATTTAAAAAAAATATTTTTAATACTCATGGACTAAACATACATGCTTCTAGAGACTATAAATGCACTATTTTTGCTAAATATAGGAGCCATAAACAAATAAATGAATAATTTCAAGAGTTATATTTTCAAGCTATACATGTTTAAACCTCTTTCATATATTTTAAACTAAGATTGTCAAGATCTTGATCTAGATCTTAAAATTTTACAATTCTGCAATCTTAAAATCATATATTGTAGCAAGATCGCTACAAAATCATAACCAAATTGTGAGGAAAAAAAAAGTACATCGTTGATTATGTGTGATCCTGGCCAATATGATTGGACGCTTTCGGCCACCGCCATTACAAGCCGAGAAGGATGACAAGATGCAGAGGAGCAACAATTACGATTCGGCGGCAATGAATATGTGTCTTTTGAAATGAGAAGTTTTAGATTTGGGGCTTAAAAAATATACATCTTAGTTGTAGGGTTTGTTTTAAATAATGGGCTTATGATAAACCAAGTGATAGGCCAAATATGTCCATAATGTCTAACAAATGTTTACCGTGGAAAATGGTAAAATAGTATAAAAACACAATCATGTGTTTAAAGAATACTAGAAAGGGTCCTTTTCCCCCAAATACACTTTCCTACTAAAATATTGTGTAAAAATACTCGAAATATATAGTATTATTGTTACAATTTTATGTTTTACAATCTAGCTACGCCCTCTTGATATTTCAGAGAATGGCATAACAGAGATTCCTTTGGCCTATGACAGGTGTCGTTCCAGGTACGAGTAAATTAAATGACATCATTTTTTTCAAAAGTGTTTTTACAAATAAACAGGCAAGATAAAACATGGACATAAATAAAGCATGCTTTCTATCATTGAGCAAGTTTTTAGAAAGGGTGTATCCAAAACCAAAAGTGTATATGTAGTATTGATCTTAAGAAAATACTATTCAGCAATCTCCTGAACTTCTTTCATCATAATACACAACTCTTTCAATGATATGGTCACACAAAAAAAAAAAAAAAAAAAAAAAAAAAAAAAAAGTTTTTTATTATCTGCAGTTTTATTTATTCATTTTCTTATGAGTTAGCACTGAACCTTAATATTACATAACCATGACACACTGTCTTGCCTTTTGAAAAATGGTTCAATGGAACATACCGTGCATAAGTTATAAATAAGTCACGCGCTAATTGTCTGGCCTGTATAGTTCCAAAAAACTCCAATGGCTGCCTCTGCATCATCGTAACAAGAATGTGTGCATTAGATACATGTGTTACTCCTTAGACATCACTAACCTGACAACATTTAAAATATAAAATTTTCCTGAGTCCAATACCTTTTGCCAAATATGAAAAAGTATAAGGTAAACTAGGTCTGTATCACCACATTCAGTTGCCTTCATCAAGGCTATATCTTCTTCTCCTATGCTCAACAGGAGAGGAACCTAAGCACGAAGTAATGAGAATAATAATAAAATATCCCATCAGAAATCAGCCAGCATATTGTGTGACTTGGGGAGGAGGGAGACAAGGTTGAGACAACATTAATTTTAAATGTATTCAAAATAACCGGAAAATCAGAATTCCACCTGTTTAGAAGAACGGGGTTCATGTTCAACAAGCAAAGCAGCTAACTTTCGGCGGCCATTTTTGTCTGCATGAGCCGCAACTGCTGCATAGGATATGCTTTTGCACAGTTTTAACTGAGAGTAAAAGAGTGCAATTCAAGAGTAGTTGCATATACTAGGATGATTGCAAAAAAGTTTGAACTAGGGGAGGGGTACCTTATCAAGCAGAATCTCTAGAAGAGTAGTATCGGGTATTGCCAATGACGCAGTTATCTTAGCACATGCCCAGTGCATTATCACTACCTCCTTCATAAAAGTAGTCAGAAAAAAATTTAAATTTACTTGACACTCAGAAGATTGCCGATGACAAAGAATAATACAATCAATCTTTTGAAATATTTCTTATTTAATACTATTTATTTTCTTGTTAAAGTGTTATTATATTACTCCTAACTCCTAAAATAAAGGAGTTAATTTTGTATTTTCTCTCCTATAAAAGAAGCCCTTTTTTCTTCGTAATAATATAACAGAATTATCACCCATATGCTTTTCTACATGGTATCATGAGTTCTATTAGGGCTAGGGTGATACTATAAAGCTTTCCCTAATTAGTGGGGTTCGAGGCATCGTCCCAAACAAAAAAAAATTCTGACGACCCATTCTTTTATCCGACCCGACCGATCCAAACTATGGTGGACCCTATCCATATACCACCTCCTCCCAGAGGAGGTCGTGGAGGCGGCGGCACCAACAACAATTCCGGCGGTGCCAACAACAATTCCGGCGGAGGAAGTGGATTTACCATGCCAGAAATGCCCAGGTTCATGACAAACAACAATCTTAACAGTGGGTGCAGTTATGGCAGAGGTGATCCCAACAACAACTTTTTTGGGTCCGGTTATGACTACCCATTTGATGGTGGTTACAGTAACTCAGGAGGTGGAGGCCAAAATAACTCTCTTCAGGTTAATGTTCAGAAACTAGATGGCTCAAACTACGCTAAATGGTCCCAAATTGTTCGACTTATTTTAGAAGGCAAAGGGAAGTTGGATTTTCTTACCGGTGATGTTCCGGTGCCTGCAACAACACATCCTAATTACAAGTTTTGAAAATCTGAAAACTCTTCTATTATTGTCTGGTTTATTAATACTATGGAGATAGGTATGAGAAAAACATACATGTATCTACCTACAGCAAAAGATGTTTGGGATGCTGTAAAACTGTCTTACTCTGATATTAAAAGTTTCTCTCAAATTTATGATCTAAAAATCAAAGTTATGGAATTTAAAGCAGAATGACATGGATGTCACTACCTACTATAATGAATTGTTGGAATATTATTGGAATTGGAAAGATTTTTTGACAATTAATGAGTAATAAATGAACACATTTGAGAACTAATATAGAAGTGAATTTGAAAAGATTCATTTTAGTCTCACATTAAAGGGAATGGAAATATTAGTAGTGTTTATATATTCCAACTTTGTCAATTGGGTTGGGCCCTAAAGGGCACCCAATTTTGTGAAAGGAGTGAATTATTTTTTGGACCCGAATTTATATAATTTAATTATCATTAATTAATTAATATAATTCGGTGGAAAATTAATTAATAATAAATATTAATTAATTAAGAAAATAATTGGTCAGTAACTGCCAGATCCAGTCCTCCACGAATTTCTCATTCTCCCACCATTTTCTCCACTCACCACGAATTTCTCCCCACTCAGGTGCAGGTAGCTGCCTATAAATACAGGGTAGAAATTCAGTAGTGAGTACATCGGATTTCACAAGTTCACACGAATTTTGATTTCCTTCTTCTCTCCCTTAATTCTCTTCATCTAAAATATTTCTTTTCTTGACTGGTTATTTTCGCCAGATACTAACTTAGAAAGGTGTATTTCTAGAGCGATTTATCAGTGTGCAACTGATAATCGTAAGGTTTTTGAACGGGTTGTTTTATCCTGGAGGTGTCGTCGTAAATCGACTGCTTTGCATAATTTGGCAGTACGGCGAAACGTCTTAAAGAAAGCGACCTAGTACGCGACTCGTCCCGATAATTTCCTTGTGCCAAACTCAATTTTTCAAATCCGAAAACAACATTTTTAAGACGATTTAATAACTGCCATGGCAACTGAGGAAATTATCGGTATTACTGCGGCCGCTTCGGTCTCTGACAAACCTTTCAGGTTTGAGGGTTCCAATTTCAAACGTTGGCAAGCTAAGATGAAATTTTTCTTAACTCTGAAAAAGGTTGCCCACGTTCTGACTGAGGATATCCCGGTTGTCCCTTCTGCATCCTCTGAACTACCTAATGGTAACTCACTTGCAGATTCAGACGGGATTTCCAAAATGTCTGACTCAGATGCTGCAAAAGCTAAGGCTGCAGCAGATGCTGCAAAAGCTAAGGTTGCAGCAGATGCTGCAAAAGCTAAGGCTGCAGCAGATGATCTACAGCTCCGAAAAGAAATTGCCTTATGGCATGAGAATGATTATCTGTGCAAAAATCACATTCTGAACAGCCTTGCTGATGATCTGTACGACTACTACAGTAGCTACAGGACTGCTAAACAGGTTTGGGAGGCTCTGCAAAGAAAATACGATACTGAAGAAGCAGGTGCGAAGAAATTTGCTGTCAGCCGCTACTTGAACTACAAGATGGTGGATGAGAAGTCGGTGGAAGCTCAAAGCCACGAAATTCAGAAGATTGCTCATGAGATAATTACAGAAGGTATGCCCCTCAATGAACAATTTCAAATTGCTGTAATTATTGACAAACTGCCCCCTGGTTGGAAAGATTTCAAAAATGTGTTTCGTCACAAAACAAAAGAATTTTCAATCGAGAGTCTAATAACTCGCCTCCGAATTGAAGAGGAGGCTCGAAAACAAGATCAGAAAAAAGAAGTCTTAGTTGTGTCTAACAACAAAAAGAAATTCGGTGCGGTTCTGAAGCCTACAGGCAAACCTTTATAGAATCAGAACCGCAATGCTATGAACCGAACTAAGAATGGGAATCCCTCTAGGGCCCCATCGGCTCCATTTGCTAAGCAACAGCCACCACCTCAAAGAAATGATGCTCCAGTTTTCTCTTGCTACAACGGTGGGAAACCGGACCATATGGCAAAGAAATGTAGGAGCAGGCCTAAACCTGCAGCTGGCTCAAATGCTCAGGTCAACCTGACTGATGAGCAACTTATTGCCATGATCACTGAAATCAACATGGTTGGTGGAAGTGATGGTTGGTGGATAGACACTGGCGCCACTCGTCATGTCTGCTATGATCGTGCTATGTTCAAGACATACATGAATGCTGAAGATAAGAAAGTGTTGTTGGGAGATGCTCACACCACTAATGTTGCTGGAATTGGAGATGTTGAGCTGAAGTTCACTTCAGGAAAGACTTTGATCTTGAAGGACGTCATGCATGTTCCTGAAATTAGGAAGAATCTTGTTTCTGGTTTTCTTTTGAATAAGGCTGGGTTTAGTCAAACTTTAGGGGCAGATTTGTACACCATCACTAAGAATGGTATTTTTGTTGGAAAAGGGTACGCCACTGGTGGCATGTTTAAGTTGAATGTTGATTTGAATAAAATTTCTCCTTCTGTTTACTCTTTGTGTGACTTTAATATTTGGCATGGTAGACTTTGTCACGTTAATAAACGAATCATTTCTAATGCAAGCAACATAGGCCTAATCCCTAAACTAAATGTTAATGATTCCAATAAATATGAATTTTGCAGTCAAGCTAAAATAACAAAAACTTCACATAAATCAATTATAAAAGAATCTGACCCCCTAGATCTTATACACTCTGATATATGTGAATTAGATGGAAGTTTAACTAGAAATAATAAACGTTATTTTATCACTTTTATTGACGATTGCTCTGATTATACTTATGTATATCTAATGAAGAATAAAAGTGAAGCGCTTGACATGTTTAAGGTGTATGTAACTGAAATTGAGAATCAATTTAACAAGAAGATTAAGAGACTTCGCAGTGATAGGGGAACCGAATATGACTTTAGCTTGTTTAATGATTTTTATGCTGAACATGGTATTATACATGAAACGACTGCTCCATACTCTCCTGAAATGAATGGTAAAGCAGAAAGAAAGAATAGGACTCTTACTGAACTTGTAGTTGCAATCATGTTAAATTCTAGTGCTGCACCTCACTGGTGGGGGGAAATTTTATTGACTGTTTGCTATGTCTTGAATAAAGTTCCCAAGTCAAAAAGTAAGATCTCACCTTATGAGATATTAAAGAAAAGACAACCAAATTTGTCTTATTTGAAAACTTGGGGTTGTCTGGCTTATGTCAGAATTCCGGATCCGAAACGAGTTAAACTCGCTAGTAGAGCCTATGAATGCGTATTCATTGGGTATGCAGCAAACAGTAAGGCATACAGGTTTTATGACCTAAATGCCAGAGTAATTATAGAATCAAACGATGTTGAATTCTTTGAAGACAAATTTCCTTTCAAATCGAGAAATAGTAGGGGCACACAATCGAGTCACATTCCTATGATAAAAAGCACTGAAAGCAGCGACAATGTAGAAACAGAACTTCGAAGAAGTAAAAGAGCAAGAGTTGTTAAAGACTATGGGCCCGATTATGCGGCCTATAATGTAGAAGAAGATCCAATAAATCTTTAAGAAGCACTGTCATCTATGGATGCAGACTTATGGCAAGAAGCCATTAATGATGAGATAGATTCTCTAGAATCTAACAAGACCTGGCACTTAGTAGACTTACCTCCGGGTTGCAAACCAATTGGTTGTAAATGGGTTTTGAAAAAGAAACTAAAACCTGATGGAACGATTGAGAAATACAAGGCTCGCCTTGTAGCCAAGGGTTTTAGACAAAGAGAAAATATAGATTTCTTCGACACCTTTTCTCCGGTCACTAGAATTACATCCATTAGGGTACTCATTTCAATAGCAGCCATTTATAACTTAATAGTACACCAAATGGATGTTAAAACAGCTTTTTTAAACGGTGACTTGGAAGAAGAAATCTATATGGAACAACCAGAAGGGTTTGTGATCCAAGGACAAGAAAGCAAGGTCTGTAAGTTAGATAAGTCTCTGTATGGACTAAAACAAGCCCCTAAACAATGGCATGAAAAGTTTGATAACCTAATGATAATTAATGGGTACAAAGTGAATGAAAGTGACAAGTGCGTTTATTACAAATCTGAGAATCGCATTTGTACTATCATATGTCTATATGTAGACAATCTACTTATATTTGGATCAAACATTCAGGCCATTAATGATATGAAATCATTGTTATGCAATAACTTTGATAT